GGATGAAGTTTTGCAGGTTTTAAGTAGTTTACATTTATTTTAAAACAATAGTAAACCAATATCAAGGTTTGTTTTTTGCTATGAAGAGATTAGCCCTTTTATTTTTTATGGTAAATAGTTTGTAACTCTGTTTTTGACTAAAAGGTGAAAACGTGCAATGTTAACAGTTTCATCAGGTAAGAACTTGGAAAATCTCACCCTTAAACATTGAAATAAAGAAAAAGTAGGTTGACTAAACAGAAAACACAAAATCAATGGAATGGAAAATCATAAAGATTTTTCTATGAAGGGGCTGAAGTGTCGACGTTTGAACTGGACTATGTGCTGTTTATTTTACATTACTGATTCAACTTATCGATTCATTTTAATGAAAAATGTTTTGTGTGTTATGAAAAGTCATTGAAGGTGTTTTAATGATTTTTTTTTTCTTGTTTTTCAGCAACTTCAACGAAGCCAACCGTGTTTCCTCTGATGCCATGTGATTCTGAGGGCCAAGACAAGGTCACTCTGGGCTGTCTTGCCACCGGTTTCAGCCCGTCTGCCCTGACCTTCACCTGGAAACAAGGCGCCACCGATTTGACGGACTTCATCACGTACCCTTCAATGCAGAAAGGCAGTGAATACATGGGAATCAGTCAAATTCAAGTCAACAAGCTGGACTGGGACGCAAATAAGCCTTTCGAATGTATTGCAAAYCATGCAGCCGGGCAAGGAAGTGGTGCAATGGTGAAACCAAGTAAGCCTCATGCTAAGTCTTATATCCTTTAGTAATCAGTATTTATTTTAAATTGTAAATGGTTTGCATGTGTCTTTTGTTTATTAATCATTCAACAAATTAATTTTAAACAAAATGTATTATTTATTACTAAAATAACTTCAAATGAACATGGTAATTAGTAATTGGCTTTTATTTTGGACATCAGACAGTGTAAAATACAAAAGTCTTAGATCATTGTTTTTTTTTAGATTTTACTGCAGCTTTAACCAGTGAGCAAAAAATTATCACTTCTAATAAACTATCTTTAATTGCAGTTTAATATTTATAAGAAAACACTTATGTGTTAACATATATTATAAGTGAAATCGTATCACCTAAATTCTGCATAATATTCATACAAATAATTACGATTAAAAACCATTATGAGAAATGTACAACAGAGAGCCAGAATTAGTTTYACTCTTTAAAGGAAAATATTTTAAACTCCTGAAAAATGCTTAAATGGGGCAAATGCTTRAATACATTCCATCTCTATATCCGGTAGGGTAAAGCAGGTGGAATAAGTATCAGTATCTATTGTAAATGTTTGTTTTTTTTAAACTTCTTGCTGTTTTTGAAACTTCATTAATGTCTTTCTGTCTTCTGCTCCTGTCATAGTGGTGCATTTTGCTTCTTCCTATCCTATAACCTATAACCCTCCATTTTTTTTTTACCACTGCCTGTCTTTGTTTTCTCTCTGTTCATAAGTAATATAATTAACATTCGCATCACTCTGCGTTCGCTTGCCAGTAAATGTATATGCAGAAGTGAGCATTAAAAGCTCTGCCGTTAATTTATTTTAAGATTAAGATGATAGCAGCTTTCTTTGGTCTGTTTATGCACCTTATAAACAAGGCATACTAAGTGCATACGATGCAGACATGACATGAAAGATATAAGCCTATTATTAGAACCATTTATTCATTTTTGATGACATTAACACRATAAAACATTGTTTACTAAGGCTTCTGCATATATATATGTGTGATTCTTTGCTTCCGCAGACATATATATGTGTATTGTGTTTGTCTTTCAGGTCCAGTTTATCAGTTGCCTACTCTTACATTGACTTCCTCCGTCGATGAGGAAAATAAGGAGGTTTCCTTCTCCTGCTTTGCCAAAGATTTTTCACCAAAAACCTTTGAGTTCACATGGATGAAAGATGATGAGGTTATCGATCAAAGCAGCATAGACAAAATCAGCATGTCATCTGAAAGAAAAAACATCAACGGAACGACTGTGTACAGCGCCGCCAACCTGCTCACGATGAAGAAAGATGAAGTGAATCCGGAGGATAAATTCATGTGTGTGTTTAAGGGGAAAGGAAAAAGCACTGCTGCTGTTAAGAATGACACTGTGCAAGTCAAAGAATGCACTGGTAAGACTTGTTTTTGTTTTTGTTTTGTTTGTTTGTTTGCTTGCTTTATTGTCCGTTTGAGTTGTTTTCCAAACAGATGTTTCATTCTTGTTTGCTGGTTTTTCTCTCAGTAAGTGGGAATGACAGACCAAATGTGGACATACAGATCATTGAGCCCACAAACGAGGACATGTTTGTGTATCGAAAGGGAAAATTAATATGCCAAGTCACGGTTGATAAGGGCACATTTAAGTTGGCTTGGGAGGATGAGAACAAATTAGACCTGGTGGAAAGTGGAAAGAGTTCAAAAGCACACATACTGGAACTCGACATCACCTACGATGAATGGAGTAGGAAAGTTGAACGAAGCTGTGCCGTTCATCATAACGACTTGGAGGAACCCATTAAGAAACTTTATAAACGAGCTAGTGGTAGGGAAACTGTCCAGCAAACACTTTGAGAGAGAATTCTCTTCTCGGTGTTTTGTGTCCCAGACTTTAACTGTTCTCACGTTCTTGCAGGTGCCTCTCAGAAGCGTCCTTCCGTGTTTATGTTGCCTCCAGTAGAACAAACTAGAAAAGAGGAGGTGACCCTGACTTGCTATGTGAAAGACTTCTTTCCTCGTGAGGTTTATGTGGCTTGGCTTGTGGACGACGAGAACGCAGCCTCAAAATACGAGTTCAACACCACGAACCCTTTAGAAAACAACGGATCTTATTATGTTTACAGCCAGATGACCATCCCCCTGGAGGACTGGAGACAGCCTGACATGGCTTACAGCTGTGTTGTTTACCACGAATCTCTAAATGACTCAAGATCAGTTAGATCCATTGGCTACAGAACCTCTGAAAGCACCAACCTGGTCAACCTGAACATCCCCAACGTGTGCAAGACCTAGTAGATTTGTGTCACTGCGTCTTCTGTTCTTTGTTTGATGTTTGTTGCTTGTGATATGACATTGTGTGTGTGTTTTTGATGCAAATTAAAAATCAAAATAAAAAAAAAACACTTGTTAACTGTGTTAATGTTTGTCGCTTTCCAGTTTTGTCTTTACTTGGCCGGTCCTTTAGCTCAATATTGATGTTGAGCAGCTTATTTAGATCCTGAGTCACATTTCCCTCACTACTTCACCATCATTAGGCAACTTTTTTCTTTAGAAAAAAAAAACTTGTTTGCTCGTCTTATTTGCTTCTGAGAGCTAACAGTTTGAATTGTCTTTGTGTTGCCTGCRTTTTATTCTACTGGGTCTTGCTCCCAAATCAAGACGTTGCTCCTCGTCAAACCATGAAATATTTATTCACAAGTCAAGTCTCACAAGCCACACCGATGTTAGAGCCTCACATAGGCAAGTCAGTATCCCTGCAGAGCCCCTAAGCTGACTCAACTAGGAATAAAATCCTCTCGTTTATCTAAGCGTCTTATAAAAAAACACAAATGTTCATTTTTTTTCAAGAACTGGGATTGAAATGTCGTTTGACTAAATGAATTTATTGCTTTGCTGGCACCAGAGATCCCGTTTGAAACTACAAGCAACATGCCCACGGAGGCAGAGCAGGATAACATGACATCGACGGCGCTCACCTTCATCCTCCTCTTCCTCATCTCTCTGCTCTTCAATATAGGAAGCGTCACTTTGCAGGTAAACCCATGGTTAAATATTAGCGTCATGCATCAATTTGAGTTAGACGCCATTCTTTTTAAAAGGTGCATGTAGTAAAACAGCACCGAAGTTTAGTGAAACTATCGCATTATAGTAGTTAAAAAGAGATTAAAATAAGTCAAATAACAAACRTGCACATACTAATAATAAAAAAATATGTGAAAAATATTGGCTAAAAAATGCAATAGATGTATTTCTGAAAATTGTTGCACCCTCACTGAGGTTGTCACCAAATATTAGGTTTGCATGTATTTATTGTTAGCAAAATATCTCATGATATAGTTCAATTTACTTGGATGATAAAAACACAGATCATGTTTCTCAGGTAAAACAAATCATTTTGCAGTGAGAAGCAAAAGCTCAGAGGCCTTATGTAAAGCTTCCACTCAAAAAGGATCAAAAAATGAATAATTCAACAATGCAATCCTTGAATAATTGATCATAAATCTGTCAAATATAATCATATAAAAATTATATATATACATATACAGTATATATAT